GATGGTGGCGCCAGCGGACCTTCCCTGCCTGCTCCAGCGCGGGCCGCCTCCCCTCCACCGCTAACCTCACCCATCCTATCCCATCCACATCCGCTCCTTTCAACCAGATATGTAAACAAGCGGATGATGCTAGTGGTGGTAATTGTCTGCTCCGGGTTGTTAATCTGCTCGGTGTTACGTTCTTGTATATTGTCTATTTGAAAATATAAGATAAAGCCCGGTGTTCATATGGAAATAATATTGGGCTTTTATTAAGTTGAACAAAAGTTGGAAAAGTTGATTTGGTTTGGACTCAAGTTTCCAAGTTTGCTGAGAGTGCTCTTCCGGGAATACTCGGACAGGGGGATATATTAAGTGTTGGAGCGTGTGTTTGTTGGTCAGCGGCCGGCACCCAGGTGTGTGTGTGTGTGTGTGTGTGGGGTTCACAGGGGACAGGTAAGGACACCTCTGTTATTGTCTTATCTGTATAACACTCCATTCCTCCTTCCTTGTCTTCTACCCCTCTCTCTCCCTCCTTGCCTCCTCTACAGTCGCTCTCTCATTCTTTACTTTATCTCTATCAATCCTCCAACTTTTTATCTCCCTTTATATCTTTATCCTTAACTCCCTCCCTTATATATATATATATATATATATATATATATATATATATATATATATATATATATATATATATATATATATATATATATATATATATATATATATATTGGTGTATACTGGCAGCAGGTTTTCCTTCAAACATGTTTCATTGAATATGACCGCATATTCTGTATTTATTATTTTCTGGTTTAGGGCTTCTATCCCTCTAACTATTTTCTTAGCATCAGGGCTTAATTGAAATAGGAGTTCTCCAAAACTCATTTTCGTACTTTTAAGGCGAAGAAAAGAAGTGATTTACTATAGAGTGTATTACACTTATTTATATAATTTGCACGACGTTTCGAACCTCCATGGTTCATTCTCAAGTGAACAGATCTTACAATACTAGTTGATTTTATACCCGCACTGGGTCAGGTGATAATACAATGAAGGTGAAAACATGGGGGATACATAAGGGATAAAATGTGAGGTGAAACATAGAGGCTGCAGAAGGCTTATTGGCCCATACGAGGCATCTCCTATCTAAATTATGCCAATTTATCCTCCTATCTCCTATGCCAATTACACTGGATTAATCTTTGTTTAGAGCCAATTACACTGGATTAATCTTTGTTTAGAGCCAATTACACTGGATTAATCTTTGTTTAGTGCCAATTACACTGGATTAATCTTTGTTTAGAGCCAATTACACTGGATTAATCTTTGTTTAGATAGGAGATGCCTCGTATGGGGCCTCGTATTATACCCTTTTTCTCCCTTCCTTTCTATTTCTTTCTCTCCCTTCATATTTACCTCCCTCTGTATTTCTGTCACTGCCTCTGTATTTTAAGGTTTTAAGGTAATGACAGAGTTACAGGACATAAGTTAGATGGTGTTGAGATTACTAAGTCCGAAAGCGGAAGGGATCTGGGAGGTCAGATCAGTAAGAATTTAAAAAAAAAAAAACAAAATGAATGCATAAATGTTGGAAATATATGAAATGTTAGGCTCCATTTAGATTATGCTGTTCAGTTTTGGTCGCCAGACTATAGAATGGACATAAGTTCACTAGAACGCGTCCAGCGTTGGATGACAAAGTTAATCCCACAAATTAGAAGTCTTCTATATAAGAGAGAGTTACGATAGCTAATTTATATTCTCTAGAAACGCGAAAGTTTAGGGCGTCATGACTGAAGTGTGTTAGTGAGTTAATGTACATAACCAAGTACACATTCCTACACATCAAAAAGTCAACATGAGCAATCAACAGCCAATTAAACTTGAGGTAAAGCGCGCAACATGCAACTGTTAAATGCAGGTTATGCAATGTTCCTTGTTCATCAACACAACGCATTTCCCTGCTCTTCTCCTACATGGGAAACATTGCCTGGGCCAGGACGGAGGCTATTTGTATCGGGGCTCCAGTGATTTGTTATTATGTGGGGTGAGTAAGGTTGTGAAGCTGTGAGTTATTGTGGCTACCCGAGCCCCTGCTGGCCTGTGTGTGTGTGTGTACTCACCTAATTGTACTCACCTAATTGTGCTTGCGGGGGTTGAGCTCTGGCTCTTTGGTCCCGCCTCTCAACCGTCAATCAACTGGTGTACAGATTCCTGAGCCTATTGGGCTCTCATATCTACATTTGAAGCTGTGTATCGAGTCAGCCTCCACCACATCACTTCCTAATGCATGTGTGTGTGTGTGTGTGTGTGTGTGTGTGTGTGTGTGTGTGTGTGTGTGTGTGTGTGTGGGTGTAGGTCTGGGCACTTGTGGGGCAGTCTCGGGTCTTGGTGGTAATGTTGTGGGGTGTTGGGCGTGTGGTTGTTCATCATGTGAGGAGTGTTGTTCTATATAAATCACTTGTACTGTCCTGTCTTGAGTACTGCTCAGTACTCACTTCCCCCTTCAGAGCAGGAGAGATTGCTGAAATAGAGGGAATACAGAGAACATATACGGCACGCATAGACGCGATAAAGCAACTAAATTATTGGGATCGTCTCAAAGCTCTCCAAATGTACTCACTAGAAAGAAGACCAGATACCAAATAATATACACGTGGAAAATACTGGAAGGCCAGGCCCCAAATCTACACAGTAAAATAACAACGTACTGGAGTGAACGATATGGAAGAAAATGCAGAATAGAACCAGTGAAGAGCAGAGGTGCCATAGGCACAATCAGAGAACACTGTATAAACATCAGAGGTCCGCGGTTGTTCAACACCCTCCCAGCGAGCATAAGAAATATTGCTGGAACAACCGTGGACATCTTCAAGAGAAAACTAGATAGTTTTCTCCAAGGAGTGCCAGACCAACCGGGCTGTGGTGGGTATGTGGGCCTGTGGGCCGCTCCAAGCAACAGCCTAGTGGACCAAACTCTCACAAGTCAAGCCTGGCCTCGGGCCGGGCTTGGGGAGTAGAAGAACTCCCAGAACCCCATCAAGCAGGTATCAAACAGGTATCAAACAGGTATGGTTGTTCATCACGAGATAATTACGTGTGGATAATTACACAGCCCGCTTTCGGGAGCGTTCCCAACGTCAAGAAAGTGTCGTGCTAAAGTGCCCTCTCCCAACCAACCAGAGTTGCTGAGTGCGCTTGCACGGTATTTAAGGCCTCTTAAACACCTAATTGAATTACTCGGATTAGGCAAAAATTGTATATTAATTTTGTCATTAAAGATGTTAATAATAATGATCCTGGCCTGTGATCACAGGAAGTGTGTGTTCGTCCTTCCGGGGACACGACCTTCCCCGTGTCTCCACACCACTACAATGTACACTGTAATACTTGTACTACACTATTATCAGTACTTATTGATACTGCAAATACCTGCTATCTATACCCAGTGATATTACAAACCCGTGGTATTGTGTGTGTTGATGGGGGGTGTGTCCCTGTGTAGGTCCCCAGTACACAGTGGTGGTAGTGTTGGCTGGGTGTGGTGGGGAGCAGTGATGGGCCTGTGTAGGTCCCCAGTACACAGTGGTGGTAGTGTTGGCTGGGTGTGGTGGTGAGCAGTGATGGGCCTGTGTAGGTCCCCAGTACACAGTGGTGGTAGTGTTGGCTGGGTGTGGTGGGGAGCAGTGATGGGCCTGTGTAGGTCCCCAGTACACAGTGGTGGTAGTGTTGGCTGGGTGTGGTGGGGAGCAGTGATGGGCCTGTGTAGGTCCCCAGTACACAGTGGTGGTAGTGTTGGCTGGGTGGGGTGGGGAGCGGTGATGGGCCTGTGTAGGTCCCCAGTACACAGTGGTGGTAGTGTTGGCTGGGTGTGGTGGGGAGCAGTGATGGGCCTGTGTAGGTCCCCAGTACACAGTGGTGGTAGTGTTGGCTGGGTGTGGTGGTGAGCGGTGATGGGCCTGTGTAGGTCCCCAGTACACAGTGGTGGTAGTGTTGGCTGGGTGTGGTGGGGAGCAGTGATGGGCCTGTGTAGGTCCCCAGTACACAGTGGTGGTAGTGTTGGCTGGGTGTGGTGGTGAGCGGTGATGGGCCTGTGTAGGTCCCCAGTACACAGTGGTGGTAGTGTTGGCTGGGTGTGGTGGGGAGCGGTGATGGGCCTGTGTAGGTCCCCAGTACACAGTGGTGGTAGTGTTGGCTGGGTGTGGTGGTGAGCGGTGATGGGCCTGTGTAGGTCCCCAGTACACAGTGGTGGTAGTGTTGGCTGGGTGTGGTGGTGAGCGGTGATGGGCCTGTGTAGGTCCCCAGTACACTGGTGGTAGTGTTGGCTGGGTGTGGTGGTGAGCGGTGATGGGCCCCGTGTGTAGACTGTCAGTCATCTTGCCTCAAAATGTTTCTAAATATTTATGTAATTAATTTATCATGGTGGTATGATCTGAGATGTTTAACTCTGTCATCTTGAAGATAGCCATTGGGGTCCCTCGGGGGTCCCTCGGGGGTCCCTCGGGGGTCCCTCGGGGGTCCCTTGGGGGTCCTTCGGGGGTCCCTTGGGGGGTCCCTCGGGGGTCCTTCGGGGGCTCCCTCGGGGGTCCTTCGGGGGGTCCCTCGGGGGTCCTTCAGTGGTCCTTTGGGGGTCCCTCGGGGGTCCTTTGGGGGTCCTTCGGGGGTCCCTTCGGGGGGTTCCTCGGGGGTCCTTCGGGGGTCCCTCGGGGGTCCCTCGGGGGTCCTTTGGGGGGCCTTTGGGGGTCCCTCGCCCCCCCCCCCCACTATTAAATAGTTTAATTTATCAAAGAGCAGAATCTTAACCCCCCCCTAAAGCACAATTAGGTGAGTATACACGTAAGTTGGTCAACATAAGAACGGCCTTTAGAAACTTGTGTAAGGAATCATTCAGAACCTTATATACCACATATGCCAGACCAGTCCTGGAGTATGCAGCTCCACCATGGAGTCCATATCTCGTCAAGTATATGACTAAATTGGAGAAAGTTCAGAGGTTTGCCACCAGACTAGTACCCGAGCTGAGGGGTATGAGCTACGAGAGACTTCGGGAATTAAACCTCAGTCGCTGGAAGACAGAAGAGTTAGGGGAGACATGGTCAACACATACAAGATTCTCAGAGGAATTGATTGGGGAGGTAAAGATAGTTAATTTAACACAAGGGGCACACGCACTAGGGGACACAGGTTGAAATTGAGTACCCAAATAAGCCATATAGACATTATAAAGAATAAAAGTTCTCTCTAATCAAAGTAGTTAACAGATGGAATGCATTAGACAGTGATGTGGTGGAGGCTGACTCCATACACAGTTTCAAGTGTAGATATGATAGAGCCCAGTAGGCTCAGGAATCTGTATACCATTGTTGTTGTTGTTAAAGATTCGCTACCTGGAACAAAGTTCCAAGTAGCACGGGCTATGGTGAGCCCGTAGGTAGACTGACTGTACACCAGTTGATTAACTGTAGAGAGGCGGAACCAAAGAGCCACAACTAGGTGACTAGGTGGGGCACAACTAGGTGAGTATACACAAGGCTTCGCGATCGAGTGAACAGCGCTCAGGAGTCATAGTCCAAAGGTCCCGGATTCATTTGTAGCCGAAAATGAAAGAAATGAACATAGCTTCTTTCACCTCATACCTCTATTCACCAAACATTATATAGATTTCTGGGAGTTAAACAGCTGCTACGAGCTGTATCTTGGGAGTGTGAAAGACTGTGATAAAGAAATGTGTCGTAGATGTGATAAAGAAAACTATGTCAGAAGTCAGTACTCTAGGCAACTGTTTAAATGGCGGGGCCCAAGAGCTAACATCTCGATCCTGCAGATATAAATATTAAATACATTCCGGCAGACAATCAATCCCTACGACCCCCGTTAACCTCAGTTCCACATCGACGAGCCATGAGAGAAAGAGAGAGGGAGGGGGAGAGAGAGAGAGAGAGGGTGTTACGGCCCTCTTGGGTCGCAACTGGGTTCTTTCTCTGATGTTAGTAGAGCTTGGGTATCCGGCCCCAAGCTAGTAGTGGCTTTCAAGGGGTGTGCTCTGTAACACAAGTAAATTAAAGGGGAAGGGATAAAACTGCTCAGAAATAAATATATATTCACCACCACCAATAAATAAATATATAAACAGTCAAACGCTGTTATTATAACTACACTTATTTACAATCACTTGCCTTCCTCCGAAGACACAGGATGCTCTGCTTAACGGTGCTCAAGACGAGTAGCCCTGGTTCTCTTCTTGTGGCCTCTAGACGAATCTTTAGATTCTCCCAGCGAGTCTACCCCGGCCACAGGCCAGCCAAATCACAGTCCCACTGGGTGCACCGTCGTGGAGGCCGTCAACCACAAATCCAGCCTGTAGCTGGCAGGTTCCAATCAGCAACGCTGCGTAGGCCACTCCACGACTGATACTAGGGTTGCGAGCCCTAGGCAGGAGCCTCGTGTGATTTCACAGATCACTCTCCTCACCACAACACCCCAGTGGTTAGTCTTCTCCACCAGTCAGTCCCGGGTACGACAAATCCTCAACTGTCACGTCACAGGCAGGCTAACACAACAGTGTTCATCCGGGGGGTGACTCACAGCTGCAGCAACAAATGCATGGAGGTTCTACGGCTGCCTTGGGTAGACTGATCCAACGTTCATTACAGCAGTCCCAGGTCGACTCTGTAATCAGACACGTCATCAGTGCCGGTTACACTCTAGGGCACCTCACTTACAGGCTTAGACACAAACGCCCACCTATCCACTCCATAGATGGCGTTGTTGTCTAAGCGTCACCTCACCAGAGGCCAGCAGCGGCTGTGTTATGAGCTGATCAGGACGGGAAACCAGCCCTCGTGGCTGGTATATCCTGTCCTCACTAGATGGCGCCGTCCATTTGGAGGGGGTTTCGGGAGCTGACCCACAGATGGCGCGGTCGTCACTGCTCCGCGCTCGGACGCTGGGCTCGGGTCCGTAACAGAGGGAGAGAGAGAGAGAGAGAGAGAGAGAGAGAGAGAGAGAGAGAGAGAGAGAGAGAGAGAGAGAGAGAGAGAGAGAGAGAGGAGGGAGGGAGAGAGAGAGGGAAGAGAGCACCAAACCCATGGACGTAAATATGAAAACTTACAAATCTGCACATTTGATATTGTGAAGTCGTTTATTGCTTTATGTTCCTTGAATAAGTGTATGACTTGTAAGGTATCCTATTGTCTGCGCGCTTCATTTATCAACACATATAACCTCCCCCACATAACATTAATGTTGTGGGGGAGAGTGAGGTAGCGTGTGGAGCGAGTATGGGGAGGGAAGGTTGCTCGCGTACGGGAATCTCCCGCCAGATCCCCAGGCGCCCCGCACACTGCCGAACGTGTGTGTGTGTGTGTGTGTGTGTCTGTGTGTGTGTGTGTGTGTGTGTCTGTGTCTGTGTGTCTGTGTCTGTGTGTCTGTTTGTGTGTGTGTGTCTGTGTGTCTGTGTGTCTGTTTGTGTGTGTGTGTGTGTGTGTCTGTGTGTGTGTGTGTGTGTGTGTGTGTGTGTGTGTGTGTGTGTGTGTGTGTGTGTGTGTGTGTGTGTGTGTGTGTGTGGACCATTTATCAAGGCCGTCCTGATTAGCCATTCTTCTCGTCTCGTTTATTTTGTTATTTCGTTGATTTGAGCGGTGGTTTCCGGTCACTATCTTCGTGTTGTTATATTTTTGTCCCTTTCTGATTCGTGGGTCTTTATGGGTCATTCAAATATAGTAACGATTCAAAGATATTTATGCTCTTTTTCGAGGCTCTGATTGGTCGAGCGGTTCTTTCAGAATGATCTTTTTCGAGGCCGTGATTGGTTGAGAGGTTATTTCAGTATTGCGTAATCAACTTGGTGACTTCTCTAGTGGTTGAAGTGTGTTTAGAAGGCCCCGGTTATGTCATATTTTGTTGACACTGTTGTAAAACCTTCTCTGAAGATGCTACGTGTCCGCTTAAATATAACGTCGCTTTTCGCTGGTGTGTTCGCTATGGCCAAAAATGGACGTAATTTGAAATGAAATCGGCTCACGAAAGTGATGTGCTGTCCCGTTTTCTGTTTGACTCGTCTAGCTTGCTAGGTAGATTAGGAGAGGAAACTTTCAATTAACGTTTTTCATGACGTTTTGAAACTTTAGGAGAATTTCCTGCTCTCCTAACCTACCAGAGGACCCTTAACTTACTGTTTTGGAAAAAATCCAATATTTATTTTATTTTTTTTCATTTTCAAATTACGTCCACTTTCGGCCTTACGGACAAACGGCCAAATTCAGACGTGATTTGTAAGAGGACAGGTTACGAAATGAGCTACGAGGAAAGATTACACGTGTTGAACGTCCAGTCACAAGAAGGGAGAAATGATTACCACATATGAAATACTTATGGGAATAGATAGGACAAACAAGGACAGAGTATTTAGCAGGGGTAGTACACGAACAAGGAGAAACTAGGCACCCAAATGAACCACATACATCAGAAACAATTTATTCACTTTCAGAATAGTGGATACTTAGAATGTATTAAGAAGTGATGTGGTAGAGGTAGGCTCTGGAACCTATACACTAGTCGATTAAAGGTTTTAAGGCGGGACCCAAGAGCCGTGGTTCATCCCTCCCGAAAACAGAACTATGTAAGTACTGTGTTTAAACCGTATTGGCCGCCCCGTACGTCTCGCTTGTTGTTGTTGTTATAGATTCAGCTACTCTGAACTAGTTCCAAGTAGCACGGGCTATGGTGAGCCCGTAGTGGACTTACCTGGCATAGGAGCGGGGCTATGCGCACGTCTCTTATCTCACCTACTTATGTACTCCATTTACCCCTCATCCTTTAGGACCCCCCCTCTTACCTCAGGCCCCCCCCTCCCTTTCCTTAGGCACTCCCCTTCCTTCAGACCTCTTCCCCCCCCTCCCATCCATCAGGCTCCCCATTCTCACTAATTTTCCATTCCATTCGACTCCCAACTTTGCTTTGCACTCAGGAACGCAGCATAAGTTCCTAAGTTCATTTTGTAGAAGGAAACAAAATGTAGGGGTTGTATACACAGACTTTACAAAGGCATTCGATAACTATGACCATGGCGTGATAGCCAATATAACGAGATCAATTGGAATAACGCGTAAAGTGGGGCGTTGGATTTTCAACTTGCTGTCAAACAGAACTCTGAGAGTAACAGTCGGTCAAATAAGATAAAGTCTAAGTGGAGTGAAAAGCTGTGTACCCCAGGGCATAGTTCTTGCACCACTGCTCTGTACCCCAGGGCACAGTCCTTGCACCACTGCTCTGTACCCCAGGGCACAGTCCTTGCACCACTGTTCTGTACCCCAGGGCACAGTCCTTGCACCACTGTTCTGTACTCCAGGGCACAGTCCTTGCACCACTGTTCTGT